CAAGAACCCCCTGGTATGCTAATTTCATTAAAAAGAATCAACAGATCCACCTTGTTGATTCGCTTCCTGGCGGAATTATTCAGTTTACCGGTAAGCAGAGAAGTGCCTGTCATTGGAGCTATCTGTGAAGTAAACCAAAATAATCCTGGCAGTCATTAATCAAGAGTTACTCACTCCTCCGAACATTTGCCCAAAACTCTTTTCACTAACTGTTACTTCTGCTGACGGGTTCTGTTTACCCCGCAATTTAAATGAATTTTTTCCACACTTCATTTTCATTTATTCTGTGTCATGCTCTATCATCATTAAAACGTCCAAATCGCTTCCTTTGTGCCTCTATTTTTCGGCAACAATTTGCTTATCTTGATTCACCATCAACAGGCAGACACGAGGGTACCACAAAGTACAGGTGACCGTGTACATGGGTGGGGTACGTATATCTGGGGTCTGTTGGTGGCATGGAAATCACTTGAGCGTGTTTCCTTTTGACCAGGCCACGTCGGTTGTTTAACGTTTGCACTTTGCGGCTTTCCATTTGGGCTAGCCCCCGCCCCGCCCCCTTTTCCACCTGCAGCATTTTCACACTCACTTCATTTAATTTAATTTGTGCATATTTTTTGGGCTGCCGCGGCGAGGAAAAACATTGTAAACTGATACGAGCTTAATGATGTCGAATCCCCCACCCTTTCCGTCTTTGGTCCTAGATGTGTTTTAGGTGCTTTTACACTAGAAAAAAATTACCAAGCTTTAATTTGTTAGTAAAATTATTTTTGAAATTTATACAACTTTTAGCTTCGTATAAACAGCCTTATAAAGTTTCATTATGTTTAATTTAAATTGTATTGTTCATAGGCTGTTATTTATTTTATACATTTTTTTAAAAGTTACTTTTTATATGGATTTTAGAATTCTTTTTTAAAGGTGTTTTTTTTTAGGGTGTAATTCCAAATTTTTTATATCTAGTGAAAAATATATTGAATTTTTGAATTACATTTAATTGTGAGTAATATATCACAAACTTAAATAAAATAAATGGTATTTAATTTTAGGAACTCTTTTTTTAAATCTGGTATTTTTCGAACAGGGACGTTTTTCTTAGTGTGACCGTTTCTATGTGTGCCTAAGCATTAATTAATTTTAATGAAGCTGTTGCTGATGTGCGTGTGAAGTGTCGCAAATTACAGACAAAGGTCCGAAAGTTTTATTTTTCGGGAGTGACAGTTGACAGGCTGAAATTGTGGCGATTAATGCTGCACTTGGTTTTTCTTTTGTTTTGGATCGTGGTCGCGCATCGATAGTTAACCAAATCCCAGATTCGTATCTCCTTTGAAGACCCGGGATTCGATTTTACTTTTCGTTTTGGTCAAGTGTCGATAAGGCAACCTTTGGCTTCTCTCACTCTGCACAATATAAAAAAGGGGCAGGAGGAGCAAAGGCTGCAACGACGTAATCGAAAACCAGTTCTCTGGCTGCAAAAATGTTCATTATAGGGATTTCTCCTTTGTATATTGTGTACATAAGGCTCTAAAAGTGGTTTGGCAACCCTTTTTGACACACAAACACCATGGCAAACCCTCGGGTAAATGCAGTTTTTTAACGAGGCACGTACATATGCCTGTTTAGATGCCACTTCGATGCATTTGCAGCTTTTTTTGCTGCATTGCAATCACGCCGCTGTTGCATGTTGCATGATGCATGTGCGTGCCCCTTGCGTCGACAATCAGGGTGGTTCACTCTTGATCTTGGAAGGATTATCATTTCAAGGTTGCCGGTGGCTCGCCCAGAAATTTATTTACATCTTAGAGATGGATCTTATTGCCAAAATATTTTAGATGTCGGTTCAATAGTATTAGTACTAGTATAAAATAGGTCGATAAAAAAAATCAAAACACTAGTATTTATTTCTTTCCTAAAAAAACTGAAAACTTTATTTATTTTGAATATGTTTAGCTTAAAATTAAGGACATTTTTGGTACTTACTACTTTCTACTACTTATTTATATAAGTCGTAGATATTAAATACTATTTTGTGCACTAAAGCTTTGTCCGTTAAAATTTATTTTTTGAGATTGGTAGAAACCCAATCTATATCATTTTTTTAAGAACCTGAGACACCCTCACAACATTCAACCGACTCGCTCCCCTGCTTTATATATAACTCGATTTATGTACGTACTCTGACAGACTTTGTACATACATTGTTTATGCAATTCTCGTGACTCCTTTTGGTTCTGTTTTCCGCTCGTTGTGGTTTCATATTCGCCTGGCCTTCTGCAGCTCCTCTTCTCCGGGCCTGCTGTTATTGTTTATTCCGCTTTGGCAGCATTCATGCCAATACCATATAGCCGCTCCTCAGAGGAGCAGTCCGTCCGAAAGTCCGCTGCTCCTTAGACCTTGACCACTAACATAGAAACAGGCCATAACCGGTTGGCGGGCCAACTCGATTTGCACAATTGGCCGTCCTGCCAGCAGACCCCCTCTGTTCTCAGTCCCCCAACCATCGCATATATCCCATATATATAAATGCCCATACCCATATATCGGAGTGAAGCCAGTTGTGCGATTCAATTACCGAATCACACCCACACAAATGGTAACTGCGATCCGTGGATTCCGCTTTGAGGTCTTCAGCTGTCAAACCGCCAATTAATGGCCCAAACGTTGACGGACAAAGAGTGTCGCAAATCGTTGAAAACGTTTTCTATTATCATAATTATACCCTTTGATGGAGGGGAATTTAATTATGTCGGAATTTAGAAAAGGGCTTTCAGGGTATTTAGATAATGGTCTATAAATCTATTAAAGGAACTATTTAAAATATTATATTATAACAATATAGATAATATCAATACAATGTTTTTAAATATTACCCTACAATCAAACAGTTTTAAAGGGTGTTTAAAATAGACGTTCCCCCATAATAGCAGTCCCCAATTTTCGTCTATTATAATGTTTATCTAGCAGTCGCACGCACCTCAGTTAGTCATGTTTAGTGGGTGGGGATTATTACGTCCAGTGAATTTTAATTGATGCGGGATTATGGGCGCTACAAAGCCAGGAGGCGACCAAAACCAAAGGGTTGCCGAAATTAATTACCAAAATGATTGTTAATTTTCATAATTACAGGTCTTGGAGCTGGCACGACTTTTCCTTCTTGTGGGGGAGATCGTGTGTGTAAGCGGAGGAGGAAGAATCGAAATTTGCCGCTCGATAAAGCGACTTAATGGAGGGCCTTTGGGAAATACACACAAGAAATACGACGTCGAGCTCCGAGAATGTCTTCCGGAGTGGAGAGACGACCCTCATACCTTTTCCCCCGTAACCCCGAAACCCCGTATAATTTCCATTCCCCTTCGAGATGACCTAGTTCTCGAGGCTTCGAGGAACAAAAGCCACATACTTGTCATAATAAAAATTATTCAAAAACCGGCATGTGTGCATGGTGCTTCCTCCTTCTCCTGATGGATTTCAATTTCATGTTTTTTTTGGAAATATGATCCCCTAATGTTGTTGGCAATCACGTGTTCCGGACTTCGATTCACCACGTATCATTTGACCCCTTTTCCATTCTAGATTCTAACCCCCGTTTGGGGATCGAGGGATCTCGAGCTAAAAGCAGATGCACTCATATTCGATTTGGAACCCGACCTTGTTTACTGTTCTTAGATTTCAAAACAACCCAGCTAATTGAGGCCCAACTTGTTGATGAACTCCGCCCAAATTGGAACACAAAGAAAGCACTCACTAAGCTCTTTATGCGATTGAATATTTATTTGTTAATTGAACTGCTTGAAAGTTCTTCAGAGGCTGGTGATGGCATTCTGCGAGGGGCACAAAATTCATTACTCATCAGATTAGCAACCGTTTTTAAGAACCACTTACGGCCAGATCGCCTAGTCCAGCATTTAGCTGCTTTATATAGGGGGCAGCGGCATCTGCAGCAGCGGCAATTGTCTTGGCACTCACGGCCTAAAAATAAATTGAGATTTAAATAGTATTATTTATGTAGAGTATAAACCTCAAAGATCAACTTACTCCTCCTTCGGCGATGATAGAAGCGCCATCAGACTGAAAAGGAGGAAATATTTATTGGTATATTTAAATTAGTTCATTACTTAAAGCTTACCGAAAGACTGCGAGCCTGGGGACCGGTCTTCATTTGAACACTGAGACTGGTAATGGCATTCTACAAAAACTTGGAAGTAAGCTAAATTTTAAGAGATAGATTAGAAGTATATCTTACAGCCAAATCGCCAAGTCCAGTTCCAACTCCACCCAGAACATCGCCCAAAAGGTTGGTGGCCTCGGGTTGCATATAATCATTCTCCACTCTCAAACTTGTGATGGCGTTCTAAAATATTCGGGAATATTTCTTAAATCTTAAGATCGTCTAGCAAGGATCTCACAGCCAGATCGCCCAGAGCGTTTGCCATATCGCTAAGGATATTCAGAGTAGTTGGCTGAACGAAGTCCGATTGGGAGCTGGCCACAGCGTTTTCCAGTTGGTGGATGACCTTCTCCCCAGCGACGGCCACTTGGGACACATCCCCCATTAGGGATCCAAAACTAAGGGTGCCAGCTTGGGCGTTTCGGGCCACCAGGACGATGGCAAAAAGGGTTAGGATGGTAGAAGATTGCATGTTAGTGCTTTTCGTAAAGTCAATGAATTACTGAATCACTTCCAGTAGCCACACTGCATTTATAGGCCATTCTTATCTGTGGGCTTGTGTGGGAGTTACTGACTTCTTTGACGCCGCCAATAAAAACAAATCACTCTTGAGTGGTTAATGATTCCCCACTGATTGTCGGCAACATACTGATTCTGATTGATCAGTTATTTGACTTTATTTCGGGCTATTCCTTACGGCATCGTCAATATTATATAATCTTATAAACGACAGTCTCAAGAGGGTCCTAATAACAGGTGACCAAAAATAAAACCAGCAGACAAAACAAATAATGACGGGGAATTATCTAGAGAGCTAGGGCTTAAAATAATAAAAAATGCCGCATTATTAATTGCTCGTTCATTTATTGGCCTAAATGAGTAAAAATATAGAAGATTACTTTAAAATATGGAGTGGAAAATATTTCCAGCTGCATTTGCAACATCTCCAGCAACATTTCCAGCCGCGTTTGCAACATCACCGGCAACATTTCCTGCTGCATTTGCAACGTCTCCAGCTACATTTCCGGCATCATGTGCAATATTTCCAGCTGCATTTGCAACATCACCGGCAACGTTTCCAGCTGCATTTGCAACATCTCCAGCGGCACTTGCTGCACTTCCAGCCACATTTCCAGCGGCTTTTGCTGCACTTCCAGCCACATTTCCAGCAGCATTTGCGACACTCGAGGCCGCACTGGCAGCATCGTGAGCAATAGTCCCAGCGGCACTTACTGCACTTCCTGCTACGCCTCCCGCTGCACTTGCAACACTTCCAGCAGCATTCGCAGCACTTCCAGCTACACTCGAGGCCGCGCCGACAGCATCGTGAGCAACAGTTCCAGCGGCATTTGCTGCACTTCCAGCTACACTCGAGGCCGCGCCGGCAGCATCGTGAGCCACAGTTCCAGCGGCACCAGCCACACTCGAGGCCACACTTCCAGCAGCGCCGGCCATATCATGTGCTGCGTTTCCGGCAGATTCTGCTACCTTTTCTGCGGCTTTGTCAACAGCTCCATCACTGTAGCAGGTGCAAGCACAGGTAACCGCAGGATTTTCAGTGCCACTGACGATTTCCCTCTTGGAGACAGATATCTAAAACAAGCGAAAGTTAACAAAAGTAACAAATATTTGTGGTTTTAAAAGTAAGTTTAAAAATGTTTTTTAAATTTTATATACACAGCTTTAAGAATAAAAAATAAAAGAAATTGATATTAATGATAAAATGATTTTATGATTATGAAATAAATGATTACCTTAGTTGTTTGGCTGGCAGATTGACGTTCTGCACTGGCTGCCTGAAAATACATATTAAATAATTGTTATTACCATAATGATATATAAAATTACAATATTTCTAACTTACCGCTTCCTGGGCGAGTAGGTGTCCAAAGTTAATGGCAGTATTGGAAGCCTCTTGTCCTAGTAAAGTGCCCTCTTCTCCCAATTCGTGACCAAGAATATTGCCATCCATTCCAAGTTGCCAACCTGATGAGGCATTTTCCTATAAATAAATAATATTTTATATTTATAAAGAATTTCTCAGTGTTATCTGGTGCTACCCACCGCTGATGCTCCATAATTCAAGATGCTTTGGGCGCCTGCTTGACCAAACTGAATGATCTCTTGTCCCAATTGATTACCCAAAGTGGAGGAATCCTTACCAATTTCGTTGCCTTAAAGTTTTGTTGGCTAGTTACTTTCACTCTTCTCAATGCATTAAATATATTAAGTTACCAAGGTACTATTCAGCACACTTTTAGCGTTGATCTGGTGTTTTCCCACTAGGCAAATTACCAACAAAAGACTGACTACTATATTTTTCATAATTGAATATCGAACTAAAGATATTAGCGTGTTTTGCTTGGCTTATATACCGAAAACAAAGCAATTTTATCTAAGGTGCAAAGTTCCTATCTAAGACCCACTTTGTGATCGATCCATTTTAAACCCTGTACGACTTTTGACAATTATTTCCTATAGTCTGGGAGGTCAGGAATGAAAAGTACACAAAATAGTATGAGATATCGAATTCGATGTCTCCTAGGTCTGGTACGTTATCTAAAAGTGTCTGGCGTTTGATTAAACACCTTAATTATGCTTTAATTACATATATATTGCATTATAGTAATGAACTTGAAACTTATGTTTTTATCACCCTTACAAAGTTCAAGAACAATTTCTTTTAAGCCGTTAACATTGACAACAAATTATGATTCCCCACTTATTTAAACTTTTTCTTATCGAAATGAAAACAAAGTCGCCTAATTTGGGTTACTTTTTTGGGTGAATGAATAAGCAGTAAGAAGTTATTTTTATTATCAGTAAGTAAACATTTTGGTTTCATTGTGTAAATAAACAAATCAACAGATAGTAGGTTTTATGTCTACATATCTTCGCCTTTGAGCGGAAAGTACTTATAAGGATTGCGCATTCCATTGGGCAAAAATCGGCTGAGAGTTCGGCGCATTTTCACTTTTTTCGAGAGGGTTCTCCGGTCCAGAGACTTTTTGGGATTTCGGTTGTTGTTAAATACAAAATTTAGGAAATATTCGGCATCCTTTTTTTTCTTGCCAGTAGAAGTTGAGTGTCTTCTTCCTTTAGGTAGTTCGTATGAAAATCTAACGTGGGCATTGCCGCCGGTTTTGATGTTGAAACTCTTGTTTTCCTCTGAACTCGACTAGGATAGAACATTAGTTAAATCAATCTTATTTAACTCAACTTTTTCAGTATGGTCTTTACCTTTCCCTGGATGTGTTCGGAAATTAAGAGTAAAATGCAAAGGTATATTAACAAAAGGGCTGTCATCGTTAAACTGCTTTAAAATAAATAGAAATAAAGCCGCTAATAAGTATAAGTATAATCAGTTCGATGCACTTAATTTGTATTCGAAACGCTTTCTAACTTTTCTTTTTATATCTACTTTAACATTAATATCTTGGAAAAATTATATATTCAGAAAGCAAAAGGGTGTTCAACAAAAAACAAAAAGTACATTTTATTTTATTTATTTATATGTAAGAAGAATCCATTGTGAGTTTGACTTTCTATTATGTTCGGTCTTTTTCTTTATAAAATCTCCAAGCTTAACCTGACAAATAAAAAGATCCAGGCAATATTAAATATAAGATATTATAATAGAAAATTCTGACTCACGAATGCCTTAGAGATAACTCTGGATTGCTTTCCATCAATGCCGTTGCCCTCTTCAAAATGTTTTGCCATATTTCCCATTGACGCTTCGATGTTACTTTCAATCCGTCCAATCTCTTTCGATTCTTCTGAGTGGTTATTCAATTTTGCAGATTGGGAAAAAGTTAGCAGGAACAGGCCTACGATGGCCACTGTTTGAGTGACCTGCCGCATCTCATCGATTGGAGAACTTAAAGTTAAATTGTAATATATTTAATCCACGATTCGCCACAGAAAACGCTTTAGTAAATCGCTTCGTTGCACTTCTCCAATCTCGAATATATCTCCCTGACATATAGTCAATGTCAGCTGTTGGAGTTCTGAGTCAAACCCAATCGCTTTACGACGATTTTTATGCAGCCCGCCAGCGATTTGATAGATTTTTGCATAAAATGATTCCCAGCACTTCCGTTACGTGACATTTCGGGTGGTGTTCTCCAGCTCACTCGCCTAATGTAAACAAGTTATAAAACGCTCGTAAAAGGCCAGTGCGAAAGCAAAACTACGGCCACATAAAAAGGCTATAAAATCTGTAGCTTCTGTTACCACTCTCGATAAAAAACGAGGAAAGAGCAGGGAAATGCAACTAGAATATCCAATACACTACCTTTACAAACCACAAACAAAATATCTCTATGACACGCAAACAAACTTAGATATTTTTTTTATACAAACTGATTTGAAACTATTTTTAGTATTCAGGTAGCCTTTATAATATATAATTAAACAAATAAATTATTATTCTTTAAACAAACTTTTAGACAAACATGAAAATGGTTTAAAATGTTAAACATATTTGCTTATAATTTGCAGTACTAAAAAAATATAATACATTTTAAGAGAAATTATACTTATACTTGATAATATATTTTTGTATACTTACCTTATCTTTATGTAACTTAAACTAAAAGTTACGCAATTTATTCAAAATTCACAATACCTTCTATAAGAAGGGCAAACAACAATAACAACAGGATATATTTTTTACGTATTTTGCGAAGTTTGCGAAATGCTAAAATCGTATGGGAACCTCATGACCTCGAAAGGGGGTTCAAATAAATGAAAACAGGGGAAGTTTGTGTCAAAGGTGTCCGTGTCCCGAACCACTATTGGAACCCCAACTCTCATTATCGCAAAATCAAAATGCGTTTGTCAATGAATTAGAATCGCTTCGATGGCAATGTCGCTCGTAAAGTATTTGCCTTTGTTACTGCCTTTTTTTGGGAATTTTACTACCGCTAAAATAAGTACGCAAATGGATAGTGAATGTTTTTTCTTAAGAGGTAAAGGATTTTTTTGGTTCAACATGAAACAATTTATTTGATAATTTTTTGCTGTATCTTAAACAAAAACACCCATAAATTGACTATACTTATTTGCTTAGTAAGTAATACTACTTTTTAAACTACTATTTTTGAGCAAGCGTCGGCAACACTGCCCAGAAACCAACCCCAAAATTATGCCAACAAACGTAGTGTGTTCGAGCTCAACAGCCGCTATCTTCAAATTGCGCATTTGACAAGAACCGAACATAGGCAGCGTGGCCGAGCGGTCTAAGGCGCTGGTTTTAGGCACCAGTCCGAAAGGGCGTGGGTTCGAATCCCACCGCTGTCACAGGATTTTTTTTCTTTTTTTATTCGTTTATAAAGATTAAAGAAATTCTAATGGCTAGAATTAGTTGTCATACCCCAGGAAAATAATAATTTGGTATAGACAGGGTACAGTGAAGCTTCAATAGTTATCTAATTAGAACAATTTCATTTCATTAATTTCAAAAAATTAAAACTAATTTTTATATTTAAAATAATTTTATTAATTTTTTTATAAAGAGTTTACTCTTCTTTAGCGTTCACTGTATCGCTTCCAAAGGCGATAAACACTAATTGTTATGTTAATAAATATTATTCACCTTACTCATTTGTAAATAGATTGAAATATAAAACAATATTGCCAAGTAAAATTGCCAACGCTACGAAAATAAATATTATTATTGTGATTATTTCCTTTTTAAATTATTATAGTATATTTTGTAGTCCTAGAAATATTTTAAATATTTTTTGCTTATTAGCTTATTGCATTTAATGCAGAAACAAAGAATTGATCATTAAGCTGCTAAAGAGTGATTGTTATTAATTGTGTCATTTGTTGCCCTCACTTTGGCAAACGTGTTATGGTCTGTGGGTCTTTAGACCTTAAAAAGCTGTCTAACGTTTAACTAATGTTTTCTTATATATTTGAAGATTGTCGTCATAATAACTAGTACTTATTATTACCACCGAGCAAAAAATGAATATATATGAAGCCATCGCCTTGCTTTCCTAGTAATACATTGTACTATTTAGCGTTGAAAAATTAGAATAGCGTGAGGCAATTACAAACACAATTACCAGTGAGCAATTACTCAAATAGAATTGTTCTAAATTTAGAAAAATAAGCAATGTTCTTGCTAGAACCTTTTGTTCACTAGATGGCAGATGGCGCCTCGTTGCGGCAGCGTGGCCGAGCGGTCTAAGGCGCTGGTTTTAGGCACCAGTCCGAAAGGGCGTGGGTTCGAATCCCACCGCTGTCAGGTTGAAATCTTTTTTCAATTTTTTCCTTCACTTAACAGCAGGAAGCTGCGTTTTTTACATATTCCACGCCTAATTAGACCTCGCGAAACGGGACCTCCTGACCCGGGGCTCGTTTTTCCGGAACACAAAGACCCCGTTTATCTGCCGCTGACATTTTCCGCGTGTTGCCTTTCAACTTTTAACTCTTCTAGCCCAACCCTTTCTGCGGTAACATGTTGATCCCATTAACAACCCGCAAAACGAAAGGGAAATGTCAGGAAATTAAAGAAAGGGTTTGCCGTGGGTTTTGAGCCTTCGAAATCAAATGGATAAAAGTATCAAATGTCCGAAATGTATCCCGTGGTTATTTCCGGCCACCAACTGACTGTTAAATACCACAAAGATTGTTATTGGAAGATAGGCCTTTGAAACATTGGGTTTGCGCGCATTTAGAAAATTCAACAAAACTCATTTACAAGCTACACAGAGAAAATAAAAAAAACCGAAGAATTTTTAATAACTATATATTTTCAAGGATTTTTTGATTGAAAATCATATTTTTAGCCATGTTAACAGGTAGCCCCTATATAGCTTGTAAATTTTGTTTATTAATGATGGTATCTCAATTTTCACGCTCTAAACCAATTAGTATTTATAATTTTTATTAACTTTCCCTATACCATTTTTGTTTAGCTAAAAACCAATTTCATTAGTCAATTAGGAAATTCCCTTAATGATTAGAAATATAATTCTTTTTTCTGTAAGTTTTCATATTTTTCTCTTTTTCGTTCGCTTATGGAAATTTTTCAGAATCTTCTTCGCGTTAGGAACTGGTTTACATATGTAGATAGAACCTCGTTAGCTGGTAAATCACCTGGCTAACCGGGGAATGACGGAGTTTGTTCCGCCGGTGGATTTTGCATGATATAGTTGCTATATATCATTTACGAGAGTACAGGTCTCTTGCAGAGAGATGATGCATGACAAACGGGCAAACCCCCTAAAGGGATACAGACACCTAATTAGATACAAATACCCTTGAATTTGTCGTGACATTAAACTATTCCAGTTTATATAGAACATATATTTTGCATGAGTAACACTGGTAGAATTGGACCGCTTCCTATTTGTCAAATACTTTGTGACGTGGACAGGAATTCCTAGCCAACGTCATTGACTTGAGGTCTTGGGTTCCCTAAGTTCGTTGCACCCAAAACAAAAAAGATTGTCTTGAGCATAATATTTTGGAACTGAAAGCCTTTGGTGTCACCCAGTGACACGCATCTTAAAGATACACCACATAATAATACTAGCCACTAGACTTAAAACATTTAACCGCAGAGCGGAGAACAGTAACGCTCTATTGATAAACCCGCTCTACAGAGCTGCGATCGAGAACCGATCGAGAGATCTCGGTCGACGAAGCCGAGAAGCTGCGGCTATAAAAGCTCGGACCAACTCCAGGTATCTCACAGTCTGTTTTAACGGGTCAGCTGGATACCATACAACTCGAAAGTGATTTTTAACAAACAAGGAAATATAAGCAAAAATGAAAGTGTTCGCGGCGGTTATTCTTTGCATTCTGATTGCCCACGAGGCCACATCCCAGTGTGAGTGTTAAGTAAACTTAAACGGTCCACTGACCATTGAAAAATCCCCCAAATCAAGGGGAAAACGCACAAGTGCACCTCTAATTGAGCCGGTTGAACCTGTTAACAGGGAACATTGCACGCGCCAAAATCCAAAGTGGGCAGTGCCCGAAGCCAAGTGATTTGTATTTGTGGTCAAGTTGTGATTGCATTTAGAAAAATAGGATAAAATACCCAATTAGTATGGAAAATTACCCAGGCAATTATCAAATAATGTCACTGAATGTGCGATTCAATTGAATATAAATGCAACAAGTCATTTAACATTTTATTAATACTATTTCAAGACATCTTATTGATTTCCTAAAATTTTTTCAAATTTAAATTACTATTATTAAAGTTTTTATTTGATGTAAGGATTCTTTTTCTTTAAAGTTATTATTATATACTGTTATGATAAATTGAAAAGTAGCGGAATTTATTAACTTAATATTAATAGTTTTGCTGGGAAGTATTTATGATATAAGAAATATGGATACAATTTCAAAGTTAAGCTCAAAATACCTATGATTTTTACAACTTAACTTAATGATTTGAGACCAAATAGATATTCATTTCATAATTAAGTGCAAGGCGAAAGATATTAACATGATGTTTCTTTGAGTGTGTCATGATCAATCTGAAGAATAAAGTACCTGCTTCAACCGCAAGAATGTCAGTGAAGAGGCGCGTGCATCTCGGGGCATCCCCTGGAGAACCAGATTGTAATATTTTGATCTCATCTGCAGATTCGAGATGCGTGAACCCCAACCAAAGGTCTGGACTTTGTGCGCCCATTAATGAATGTCAGACACTGTACGCGGTGTTGCAGAAGGCCAGATTAACCGATCTGGAGAAGAGTTTCATCAAGAACTCGGCCTGTGGAATGGGCGCGGATAATCGACCTTTTGTCTGCTGCACTCAGGACACGGGTTATGTGAGGAATCAGAGGAAGACTCCTTCCTTTCCCGACTACGATGGCTTTGGAGGAGATTGGGAGGAGGAGAGGCCACAGAGCTTTGCTTTTACCCGACAAGAAACGCGTCCTTGGAGCTTTGGCAACCAAAATAACCAGCAAGCCAGAGATAGGACCTCAGTTCAGCAGACCTCAACTGGTGATGGATCCAATTTACTCCCCCAGCCGCCCAGCTGCGGGGGCGTGGCCATCAGGAACAGGATCTACGATGGCCAGGACACCGATCTCAATGAGTTCCCCTGGATGGTCCTGCTGGAGTACCGCAGACGGACTGGAAACGGTCTGTCCACCGCCTGTGCAGGATCCCTCATCAATCAGCGATATGTCCTCACGGCAGCCCATTGTCTTACGGGAAGAATCGAGCGGGAGATCGGAACACTGTGAGTATTTTTAGGGGTATATCTTATCTATAAGAAGTCAAGAGTAATTTCTTTGTGAGCTTGTCTCTTCAGAAATCCATTTGTTATGTTATGTTAAGTTCGGGGAATTTTTATTTTTGAGAGGCAGGTCAGGCACCTTTGTTTAATCAATTTGAATTTGCATGGAATATTAGAAAGTATTTTAATATTGAAATATAATGTTTGTGCAATCTTTTACTGAAGATTTGGAAAGGTTATTGTGAATCTCAATAGTTCTTCTTTGTTTTCATTTTGATACTTAAACTTTTTGCGGTTTTGCTTAGCTTATGTTGATATATTCTAACCGCAAGTTAGTCTAAACATTACCAAATCAAAGAAAGAGGAATTTTCCTATCATTAATATCTGTCACAGATCTATTGACTGTTTATGAGGCGCTAAACATACACTAGTCATATTCCCCTTTTATCTAAACTTCGCCCTAAGTGATCCCAAATAACCAGATCTGAAAAATGACTGTTGATGCTTGTGCCTGTAGCATTAGGGGGTTTACTAAAGATTTGGCTAATCGATTCCGATTCATGAATGGGCGGCAGTTCAATAGCCCGCTAGCCGGTGAATCAAGTTTAAGTGTTACGAATGCTTAGATCTACTCTCCAATCCAGTTTCTCTCAGTGGGCGAAAGTGGCTTATTCACGCTTATTTGTGCGATAATTCTGAGAAACAGACTGCATTCTCCGGCTAAAAATCAGTAAACGAGGTTAAAGGGATCCCCAGGTCCAAAGACTTGGCTAATTTCAAGAATCTTAATTAGACGGCTAACCAGTTTTGATGATTCACCAGCTGGGTCATTCAGGTTCTCAATTCGCTCCGCTCTCGATTTGGCCAAGCCCCAATTAGCAGGTTAATTCTAGTGGCTAATGACTTAAATGGTCATTAATTTGTTGTTCTTTCGCTTATTTCTTTGCAGTGCCTCGGTGAGATTGGGTGAGCATGACACAAGAACGGCGGTGGATTGCCCCCCAGGTGGAGGAAGTTGCTTGCCGGAGGTCCAGCGTTTGGGCTACGAAGAGATCCGGGTTCACGAAAGATACAGCGAAAAGGCCACCAACCAAGTGCACGATATTGGCTTGATTCGCTTGGAGCGCAATGTTCGCTATTCGGATAACATTCGACCCATTTGCCTGCCCTCGTCTGTGGGTGCTGAGACCCGTCAGCCGGGTCAACAGTTCACCGTAGCTGGATGGGGTCGCACCCTGAAGTCGGCCCGTAGTGCCGTCAAGCAAAAGGTCACCCTGAGCTATGTGGATCCCGCCAAGTGTCGTCAGAGGTTCTCGCAAATCAAGGTCAATGTAGAATCCACTCAACTCTGTGCCGGTGGACAATTCCGGCAGGATAGCTGCGATGGCGATTCCGGCGGACCCCTGATGCGATTCCGAGGCGATTCCTGGGTCCTCGAGGGCATCGTCTCCTTTGGCTACAAGTGTGGTCTTAAGGACTGGCCCGGTGTCTACACGAATGTGGCTGCCTACGACATCTGGATCAGGCAGAATGTGCGGGCCTAGACAAGTCCATTGAACTCCCTATACGTTCAAAGCGAAAATTGTGATCTTTACTATCCTTAACTTAGTATAGCGACTAACTTAGATTTTAGTAGCCCCTTGGAATATTTATATTTTATACAAATACAAACATTTTAACATTATATGCGACTTTTTCTTAAGACTTTCATTGGAATGCTTTCCTAGAGGAAAAAAAATGGGGAAAGAATCTTTGAAGAGTTTTCTGTGGTCTTTGATACCCGCAGGATACGAAAGTTTAAAAGAACTTTAAAATCTTTTTTTATTCCATAAGCAAGACTGTTCAAAAATAAGTTCCCGATATAAAAGATTTTCTCTGTGAAAGTGAAACTAATTTCAGCTCCTGGAAGTATGCTATAAAAACGCATTTCACAAATACAGGAGCTTTTTTGCAGTTAAAAAGGAAATACATAGATATAGATATATTCCTATTGTCAAGTTTCTACTTAATTTCTTATAGCATACAGTCAGCTTTGAACAAAGGTTTGAACTTGCTGGAATCTTTGTAACAAAAGAAATACCTTAACTAAAGACTAAAAATCGCTACATCCATACCATCTTTGCCTTAACCATTTCATAACATATATCTTTTAGACAATTGACCATTATACTTAGTGTGATATATTCATTATCTATTAAATTTCTTTTTATATTTTAATAAACTATCCGCCACCCCAACAAGGTGAGTGAACTGCTGCAAAGATGGGTTTCCCATCAGAATACGACACCTTAAACAATCTCGAGCCACAATGACATTGCCACCACGTTTTAATTGGTGGCTTTTGCGGCGGTAGAAAACCACAAGAAAACTTCCGGTATTGGCAGGTGTGTTTTGATTCGCTTGGACTTTGGACAAAAACGGAGTTAGGAGCTTTGTCATTTTGATACAACCCCCTAAAAGCGGGCAGTGTATTATGGCCAGAGCTTTGTCCAAGCCGCGATTCGTCTCTCACCTTCAACGAAAGTGAAACCAGCTGGCCAGCTGAGTTGGTTATGCAATATGTATTATAACCGGACCATCCGGACGATCGGTATCGGTCGACCCGCCGACTACTGCACTTTTGGACTCGTTTTTTTCGCCGCCTAAATGGGGCGGGGGCGGGCTCATTTGTTGACACCTGAGCTGGAGCTTTTGTAGACTGAAGACTGAAGACTGAAGACTGGAGAGCCGGCGGGGGTCTTTCTTCTTCGGCTCTTCCGACTTTTCGGGGTCTTCGGTTTTTCGCTTTTTGGCACTATGCTTATACAAACTGCGTTGCCATTCAGTTTCGGTTCGTAAGCCTTTGCCGCCGCTTCTTCTTGCCAAGACGATCGGCAGTATTATATTGTACCTGTGATTCAAGATCATATATACCCCATGCTCGGTTCGGTTCTTCGATTATGGATACTCTTCGGCTGTTTCTACCGTTTTCTGGCCCTTCAGGAGTGCGATATCCCCAATGAATCCAAACGGGGAGTTTGCCTGGAAGTCAGTAGGTGTAAGGCGTATCTTCAGGTGCGAAATTCCAGCAACTTGCCGTCGGAGAAGGTGAATTTCCTGAAGAAAGTGCAATGCGAGGTGGAGCAGCAAATCTCAGAGGCTGCGGGTTTTTATGAGTCCCTCGTTTGCTGCCCGGCAAATGGCCAGGATTACCTATTTCCCGTGCTGCAATTCTCCAAATTCGAGTACCGAAGATTTCTGGATGTCACTGCTCGTTTTAAGCGAAAGAAACTGAAGCGGAGAATTCAGACAGTAGAGCCAAGCTCGGGATTTAATTTACTGAACGAATGCGGAAAGCAAGTAACTAACAGAATTTACGGAGGCGAAATCGCCGAACTGGACGAGTATCCTTGGCTGGCTCTGCTCGTCTATAACTCAAGTGAGTCCACTAAACTGTTTAATACATTACCATAAAATTACAAATAAAGATTTTCTTTGATCATTTAAGTATGTCCTAAATTTATAAGAGTTCCTAATCATTTTCTCCACTTTATTTTAGATGACTTTGGCTGCAGTGGAGCCCTAATAGATGATCGTCATATCCTAACAGCCGCCCATTGCGTTCAAGGCGAAGGAGTGCGCGATCGCAGAGGATTGTAAGTAGAATTTAAATATATATGCCAAGTTCTCCACAAGAACTTTCCATTTCGATTAGAAAGCATGTGCGTTTGGGGGAGTTCAATGTGAAAACGGAACCCGACTGCATCGAGGAACCTAACTATTTGAGCTGCGCAGATGCCGCTCTGGATATTGGCTACGAAAAGATCCACGTGCATCCAGACTACAAGGAGTTCTCCAACTATAAATACAATGATATAGCTATTATACGGCTGAAACATCCCGTATCCTTCACCCACTTTGTCATGCCCATCTGTTTGCCCAATAAGTCGGAGCCCCTGACCTTGGCCGAGGGTCAGATGTTCTCTGTTTCCGGTTGGGGTCGCACCGATTTATGTGAGTATATCACCAATATTTGGTAAACCCTAGATCCATAGGAATTTTAATAGATTTGTAAAGCTTTTCTTTGTTTTGAATTTAAGTAGTAAACAATGCGTGCTTGATTAAGGGGAATAACACGAACCAATTAAGTGTCAAATAATTCTGTTTACTGATCTGTTCATGGAAGTTTTTAAAATCCAAAGTATGGGTTTTTCCTTAGCAACATTAGTCGCTATTGACAGAATTTATTCAACAGGGAAATCTGCTGTTCATACAATCTGGGGCTATAGGTTTAATTGCCTCGTTTGAGGAAGATGTCTAAATTACTGAGATATTTCATATGGCATTTCATATATTATACACTAATAACTTATAATATTGTAAGTGACGTATCACATTTTAAGATATAATATCAGTATTTTTAGTATGAGCAATTTTATATCTCAGATCTTTAAGGTTTTTTTTCCTTTTTCTTCTTGCAGTCAACAAGTACTTCATCAACATCCACAGTCCCATAAAACTGAAGCTGCGCATTCCCTACGTTTCCAATGAAAACTGCACCAAGATCCTCGAGGGATACGGGGTGCGATTGGGACCGAAGCAAATCTGTGCCGGTGGGGAGTTCGCCAAGGACACCTGCGCGGGGGACTCCGGAGGACCTCTGATGTACTTCGATCGGCAGCACTCTCGATGGGTGGCCCAAGGGGTGGTCAGCTACGGATTCACCCAGTGCGGAATGGCCGGAAAACCGGCTGTCTATACCAACGTGGCCGAATATTCGGATTGGATAGAGAGTGTTTTGCAGCAGCAGCCGAGGAAAAACAGTCAGCAACAGACGCAACAGGCCCAATTGCCTTGACGTCACTTCAGATTTTTTCTGTTTTCGGGCGGGAAACGAACAATTGGCGCCTAATTGAAGTGGGCATGGCTCCGATTCAGATCTATTTACCTCTACCATATTTGTACATATTTTGCTAATTATCTAACAGCCATCAACTATTTGGTTAAGCGTGTATGTGAATGAGTGCGGAATGCGAGTTCTTGCTAACAAAAGTCTGAAAAACATGTTTCTATTTAAATAAACTACTGAATATTTACCCCTGCTGTTGAGTTTAACTGAAGGGCGAGCGGGGAGGGTGAAAGGGTTGCTAACAATTATTAGGTACTGCTGACTCAGTCGGGAAATCGTGTAACATAATACTACCTGAATAGAGTCATCTTTATCGTTAAATATTAAAACGGTGACCATTACAAATTTCAAAAGGGATCAATCTATTCAACTTGTAATAGCTTTTAACCCATTTTATAGAAATAAAACTTGGAAAAATAGCCGATCATTATATATGTTTTGATTAAGAGGCATACAAAGTATTTATAAAATAATAAGCTAGTTTTAGTATTATGACATGGGGTTAAATATAAAGAATTGTGAATGGGAACGTCAATAGTAGACATAGTTCTATAATTTTTTTCATGAATGCATTTATGGAAAAACTAATATGGAATTTTATATTATTGAATTAAAAATAAATACAGAATGATAACATTAAGACTTGTCATTAAAATAAGGTTAAACAACTTGGGATAGGTTTATATGTTAGATTTTTTTTTAAGTATATAAAACTGTATTATATTTTATCTTAGGAGTTTGGCCATAATCCAATATATCTTTGAAGGTATTTAATGATGAAAATTTTTGTAAATCCCCTATATTTTTTTCAGTGCACTCATTGACTGCTTATCGATCTGGCCCGCGTGTATCAGCTGTTCGGCCGATCGACCAGCTGGTCAAACCCGCTGGTGCAGTGGTCCTCTGCTTGATGTCGTCATTGATTGCCACACTTTGCTTTCACCCGCCATTCGCGTGCACTCAAAACGTGGCTCAAAGGAGAAATAAAAAATAAAAAACAAATGGCCCAGTGATGCAATGGCTGCCAAAAGCCAGCCCATCCAAAACTCAGCCAAATCGGTGCCCAAAACGATGCCAGGCCATTCATCAGGTCTGCTTTGGGTCCGAAAATAGCCAGAAGCCCAGAAAAGAGCCGATCCACGGGCCATTTGTATGCGGTGCGCAGGTGTTGCGGCCAAGTGCCAGTGGGCCACTGACCAAAATTGGCCGAAAACGAGCAAATCGAACAAGAAATCGAATGAACCGAAACCCAAAGTTCGAGGGGAATACTATGGGGGGATACTACTCATCAGTGCGTCATGGAGTGAAAGTGAACTTGACTCTTTCGACGGGCTGCATTTGATTTAATGCCCCCAACCGGTGATTATGATGTGTGCATTAATATTCATGATGTTTATCAGCTGGCGACGACACCTGTTCGAAAACCAGATCCCAGATCCAAGACTTTGGGGCGCCAGTCCCGTTCCACAGCCATTCATACATATGCTTGTGCAGCTCATTATCGGCTTTTTGGCGATTTTTTCGGTTAACCTTGAACCACATATACGGATACAGATACCAATATACCGATACCTACTCGCAGATACAAACGCACACCCGGCCAAAATAGATATGGGAATTGGCAAACATAAATGACATTGAAACGCAGGGCTTTTCGCGGAACGGTCGGCCAGAAACTGGGTGAGATGATAACCGGTTTTTAGTCGGAACTCAAGTCAGAGATGACTACTTGAACCCAGATGGTTCTTAGTTGTAGATTAATATTATGGTTTTTAATTCATGGATTTCACTTTAAGGT